TGGTGAAGAAAGCTGATGGTGCCCGGCTACCAAAAGATACAGCGTCTAGGGTCTTAAAGACTTGAAGGTAGACAAGCGGCCATCTAGCTGAGAAGCAACAAAGCCCACATGGAAGAAGCACACCAGCCTGTGTGATCACGAGGTGTTGATGGGATTAGGTACCAGGCATCAAACCACTGTTCTTTTTTCACTGACCCTCTCCTTTAGTAAGTATGATGTCCTTCTCCAGAGAACATTCTTCTGATAATATGTTCAAAGTATATGAGACAAAGTCTTGCCATCCTTGCTTCTAAGGAATATTGTGGCTGTACTTCCAAAGCAGATGTGTGCCTTCTCCTGGGAGTCAATGTCACACAGAACATTCAAAGCGATAATTCAAAGGTTTCTACTCTTCAGTCCTCCTTATTCTTTTACATGCATACGAGGTGACTGAAAATACCGTGGCTTGGGTCAAGCATATCTTACACCTTAAAGTGACATCGGCAATGACATCTCTTGTTCCACGTCCTCTTTGGAATCCAGCGTGAATTTCTGGAGTTCCCTACATATTGATGCAATGGTTTTGAATTATATTCACCAAAATTAGTTGCATATAATTAGTAATACTGTTCAATAGTTTCCACATTATGCAGGTCACCTTTCTTTGAAACAGGCATAAATATGGCTCTCTTCTGTTTAATCAGGTAGCTGTCCTCTCAATTACTTGGCACAGATGAATGAGCACCTCCAGATTTGTGCATCCATTTATTAAAACACTTCAAGTGGTATTACTTCAATTTTTGGAGCCTTGTATTTGGCCAATGCCTTCATGCATCTTGGACATCTTCCTTCCATACCATCAATTCCTAATCATATTTTGCTTCCTGAAATGGTTGAACATTGATGAATTCTTTTTGGTATTGTCTCTTTTGATGTGTTTTCTGCATCATTCCATATTTTGCTCCTAGGATCCCCTCAGTACTGGAATGCAAAACTTGATTATATTTTTTCCTTTCCTGCCTTTTAAATTATCATTTCTTTGTATAGTGTCCTTAATGCCATTGGGTCTTTGACCATTAGGTTCAACATATCAAATTTATTCGTGAAATAGTCTTTGAATTCAGGTGGGGTGTACTCAAGGTCATATTTCGGTACTCAGAAACTTGTTTTTTCTTTAGGTTTAACTAGAACTTGCATATGAAAAACTGATGGTCTTTTCCATAGCTGTCTCCTATCCTGATTCTAACTGATGATACTGAAATCTCATCATAGTCTCTTTCAATAGATGTAATCTATTTGATTCATAAGTATTCTACCTGGTAAGGTAACATGTATGTAGTTATCATTTACATTATTGAAAATTTTGTCCTGAAAATTTTTTACTATGGGATCACTAGTGTGATTTCTATCACTGACTTAATCTGACTTCTCTAATGAGTCAAAATCACCGGAGCTTCTATATGCATGTACAAAGAGGTTTACAGCAAGGAAATAGTTCACACAGTTGTGGAAGTGGCAAGTTCCAAGTCCACTGGTTGTATAGAGGCTTCTCCTGATGTGTGGTGTGTGTAGCAACAGGGACTGATGAACCCAAGTTCAGCAGGACAGGGTTCTGGCTATAGAGGTAAATTTAAGGTGGGCAGGTCAAACTTGTGGCTGCAGAGGCAAAAGCGCCATCCAAGGTCAACGGGCTGCTGACAACTCTCAGGAAGGGCAGGCAACCTGGCAGGCTCCTGGCTCAAGTAAAAAGAACTGGAGGTGGGGTGACAAGCCAGATGCAGGATACAGACCTGGCAAAAATGCATGCAAGCTTTTCCACAGTGTCTACTTATAATGGAAGCAGGCCACACCCTTGAGGAACTCTCATCACAGGGGACTACCTGGTCTTAATTGCCCAACGACTGATAATCTTGGCCCAGTCAAGTTAGCATAAAACCTAACTACCACAATCACTAAAACCCTATTTCCCAACTGCTGAACTTTCTTTTGTTTCCAACTTTCACATTCCGATCACCAGTAAATTGTCACTGCATCTTGACAAACTGAGACCTATCTATTTATTCCAGAAGTCAATAATGAGTTTAAAGTATCTAAAGAATTACCCTCTACAGTCTATGTGGAACTACATGCTAGAATAGTTTCAAAGAAGTGAACACTAATTCTATATTCATGGGACAAAGATGAGGCTTTCGGTTCCCATAAAGATTTACAGACTTAGACATCCATGGAGGCAGTCCTACTCTGTCATATAGGAGTACCTACCGTATAAGGAGAAATCAATTTTACAGCAATGGGTTTAATTCCATGCAGCCTAAGTAAAATCTGAAATGATGTATCACAACTAGTGGTGGTATAAATATATGGAGCAGGAAATGGCTGTTGGATAAATTTACAGAGGTAGTGTTAAAGCTCATGGTATTCACTGCATCGCTCATCAGCAAGTACTCTGCAGATCTGCAAACTATACCTAAATCTATGATGTGTTAATGTAGTAGTTGTCTTAACACTGTCTTGCTTTTATAGACTTCAACACTGTAAACTTCTGTCAGAAATGGAAACTTACTATCCTGACTTCTGCAACACAATACTCATGATCATACTAATGATCATGTCTTATGGCAATTTTGTGAGCTGAGGACTAATTTTTTCAGAAGAGCTATGCTCAACAACTACTGCTAAATGGTTTTGGAAATTAATTTTTTAAAGACTTGATATTTCTTAATGAATTCAATCTAAAATTAGAAAATTTCCTAAAATGCAAGCAGTGCTTCAAGCATAAGCTGCCAAATGAAATGACCGCATAGATCATTGCAATGAAGCCCTACATAAACTATAGTACATTTCATGTCAAGCTACTTTGTACACATCTCAAGTTGTCCAAAGTTAAAACAAGTGTTGAGTTCTCTATTCTCACACAAAATGACAGTGGATATATTTTCTGGTTTCAATTATAGCTCTCGGAGTGCTTTTCAGATCTTAATACATGTACAAAGTAAATTTCCATGTTTCTAAATCATTTAACTGCAACTTAAAAGAGTTTCCAGATAAACCTTCACTTTGAAATTATTTATCCACAACATGACATGTTAAAGGGTAAACACTTAAGAAAAGATTTCAAATAATTCTATAAATGCCTTCTAAGTGATAAAGATCCTCAACTGCAATCATAAAGTCATGGAAAGAAGTGGGGTGTACAGCTAACTGCCTCCATAAACAACTGTTCCCTCAACCATGAAACGAGAAGAACTGGAGGGTGCCCAGCAACCACGATTGAACTGTTTGATCAAAGACTCTAGAGAAGAAATGAAGAACATAGTTTATCAAATCTCATGGAATACACTTTCTGGTGCCATCGTGCCTGGCTGAATCACCTAAAACTATTGCCAAGATAATCTTTAAACTATTATCCCCTGAATTTGTCTTAAACTCCAAAATGGCTTAGTTTAACTAGGAAAAAATAACTAACTGCCTTGAGTATTGTACTCTTTTAACATCTATCTTTGAGGGTTTAAATTATTGCCAAGATAATCTTTAAACTATTATCCCCTGAATTTGTCTTCAACCCAAAAAGGGCTTAGTTTAACTAGGAAAGAATAACTAACTGCCTTGAGTATTGTACTCTTTTAGCATCTATCTTTGAGGGTTTAAATTGACAACAATTGAGCTGCAATCCACAAGGTGGGCAGTTCGAAACCACCAGTGGCTCTCTGCTTGTGTAAACAGGTACAGTGTCAGAAACTACAGGAGCAGTGCTGCCTTATCCTACAGGCACGATGAGTTGTTATCAACTTGATGGCAATAAACAAGCAACCAGCTCCAAAGATGAGAGAGGAAATTTAAAAGCAAGGAGTATGTATTAATAGGAAAGGCACAATTCAGAAAATGAGAATGAGAATAGATACACGGCTGTAAATCCTATCACTGAATTGTACATATAAAAATTGTTTAATTGGTATATGTTCTGTTGTATATATTCTCAACAAACATAAAATATAGTATAAAAACAAAATAATCATTTGCTCACAGACTGATGTTAAGTATTTGGCAGTACCTATCTCCAAGAAAGGGTACTTTTAAAGATGAAATCAGTAAAAGATCATTACAGATTAATATTACCACAAATATTTGCAATTCATGTTGATGATAGAGTACTAACTCTGAACCCTCATTAAATAAAACATTTAACTTCTAAATGAATAATTCCATCTTTCTTTTGCATTAGACCTATGTGGTAGTTACATAATTTCATGTCAACTTGAAGATATAAAAAAGTGTAAGGATAGTAGTCAATCTGTCAATCAGGTCATAGCCTGATGGTGCCTCCTTGTGGTGTGGCCTTATAAGGAGAGTGCTGGAACATCCCCCTCTCTGCCTTTACCTTCCTGCTGGCTGATTCTGATCGCTGCCAGAGCTACCACCATTGGATCCTCCCGACCTTGCACCCACCAGTCTGTGATCTTCCTGCATTCTTCAGCACTGCATGAGTCTGAGATGAACTTAGGGACTAGTATCGAACTTATGGACTCGAGTTGGACTGGGTTGGTATGGTTTCTTGATACATAATTACTTCTTGATATAAAGCTCTTTCTTACACATATATGAGTGTCACTGGATTTGTTTCTTTAGTCAAACCGGCCTAACCCAACCTGTAATACCAAAAGGGAAAAAAATATACTCAAGTATTGTATTTTGAATTTCATCAATAAAGCTTTGTACAAATTTGTCTTCTGCCTTCTTAGAGAAAAACTCATTGCCATCGAATCAATTCTGAATCATAGCAACCATATATGGGGCTTCAGAAGCTATAAATCTTTATAGGAGCAGACAGCTTCATCTTTCTCCCAAGGAGTAGTGGGTAGGTTTAAAGCACCTTGTGATTAACGAGCTTATTCAACATCCCTGTCATCTCTCCCTTTGTTATAGAAATGCCTACAAAATATCCCACATTTTACCTCTTAGGCTAAAATATTTACAACTTTACAGTAAAAGTTTACTGACCTCTCCTCTAGATCATGCAGTCTTTTACTGCAATAATTACCATATCATTACATAGCTCTTTATTTACACACCTATCTCCCCAACTCAACCATGAGCTACCGTAAGACATGCACATAAACCAAGTAAGCAGTCCAGTTGTTTTCCACTTAAGTTTTTGCTAAAGGGAGCCCGGCAAGAGGTCATCAGCATTCCTGAGTCATTCTTGAATGTTTCACAGTGACGTACAACCTAACCCCCCTCCCCCACACACACACACATACACCTAGATTTAAAAACTTTTAGTCGTTTCTAAAAACGTTATGTTTGCTCACTGATAAGCAATAGAAAATGGAACCAGCTAAAAACAAGAAACAATCTCAACTCATTTCCATTCTCACTTGATGGCATTAAGTTTTGGGTTTGGGGAGCTCTTCCCTAAGTTTGTTTTCCAATTCTTTGCCTGATTAATCTCTTTGATAGTGAAATAAACTAGAGTAAACAGACCTGCGGCAATGGCTATCAGTTATCAACGCTAGCACACACCACTTCATTAACTGGCAGATAGCGACTTCTGATCCTTCAGGATTACAAACTGTTATCAAATACTTACTGTTCCTTGTTCTAATAAAAGTTGGCACTTGCTGAGGCATTCTGGGCTGTCAATTAGTTCCAGGAGTGCTTTCTCAGCCTCTATTCTTTGTGTGAGATCAGTTCCTACATAGAGGTGAGTACATAATGCTTCCAATTCAGCCAAACTCTTGAGAGGAAAGACAAAAATGAGCATTTTACTTGTGTGAAAAAAATTTAAAAATAAGGCAGCCACAGGAAACAAGTAATGCAAATATCATTTTACTCAATAATCCAATACATGTTTAGCAAGCTACTACTTATTAAAAGATATTGTTAAATCAAACAGATACATCTCCTACCCCCCAAAATATTTCATTTTAAAATGGATAGTTCAAAATAGAAAATAGATCGTTCTACAGAGGAAAGCTGAGCGCATACATAACCCAAAGAATTAGAAGCAGCAGCATTTATGGCGGGCCTGGCAGAAGAAGACTAGAAGGCCGGCTAGGCAAGAACACAGCTTGTCCCGGCCCTGCTGCAGAGGCGCTGCATCATTCCGGACACCGAGAGCTGGAGGAGATGCCAGATGTGGCTAGAAAGATGGGAACAAGAATGATCATGCTTTGCACTCGCTGTGCCAATTTACATTCTTTCTCGAATTACAAGAACTTCAATTGCTCCGGCCACAATAAAGAAATCTTATTCATTACAAATGTATGCTGATTTGGGACGGCTAACCTAACAATTGATAGTGCGATAGGTCAACTACGTCATGATGTTCAGGAACTATGACTTGACCCCCTGTTATTTCTAGAAATGTAATACTAGCTGATCATATTGTCAGTCCCTCTTTTATATGCACAAAACATAATTCATTCTGATCTTACTTTCCTAATAGAAGCACCTACAAAGTATCTTGTATTTTTCCTCTCGGTCTAAAATATTTACAATCTAGAGAATTATTCACTGGAGGACAAAAATTAGCCCTAATTTCAATGTCGGTAGGCATATAAAGGAATGGACTTCATAGTTTTTGTCTTTTTATGGCCTGAATTATAAGGTGGAAGCCTTATAATTGGACTATTCCAAATATTTCCTCAAGCACATATTCCTGGCCCTACTACAAAATGTCACCTAAAAATGAAATGAGATATCTTCTAGCTCCCTTTACTTTTTATTTCTCTTTCTTGGCTCCCTTCTGATATTTTCCATTTCTCTGGGTTAGCCAGCATTCCAGACTTGAAACTTTCTGCTAAAGGGAAAAGAAAGGAAAGGTTTCAAGTAGCTATATTATGACCTCACGTGAACCACATTTAAACACTTCCCCACCTACAAAGTTTAGTAAACCCATCAGAGCACTATGACATGCAATGCATAATATTAAAATGCACAGAAAACTCATACTTCATGAATGCATA